AAGGAGAAGACAGCTTCTATTAGATTATAATTGGACCGACAAAGTTGTCTTTATTTCTGTAAAGGTATAATTAATGGAGAGAGTACTGTTGTCTCCTCGGTATGCAAATTTGCCAGCTATTTTGGGTGATGGAATAATTGGTTTCCAAGAATGGAAACTCAAGAGTCTTTGTGATAGAGGACTAAGAAGGTGGGAAGGCTCCTATGGAGTCTTTATCAGGACCACAATTGTTACTTGCCTATGACAAAAATAGAATGACGCTAGCGTTGAGCATGGCCAAGTTGATAAGCCATGCTGCCTTTGACTTCTTGACCGTTGGCCAGTTTTACTTGGCAGGTGGATGTCCCCAGGAGTCGCAGAGCTGTCCTTCAGGGATGGTGAAGATGTTTTTCCAGACGTGAATGGAATTAAGAAAATAGTATTCCCCAAGGATCCATTTTCATCTTTGGATTTTTATCTTCTAAGACTTTCGAAGGGAAATAAGGAGAGATAGATCTATATCTCTTGGGAGATATGTCTCTCTGTCTTCAAAAACTCTCCAGGTTGATGGCTATCCCATACACATCAGACACTTTGGGGATAAAGAAATGTAGGGTTTCTCCTTGTGTACCAACCTGTCAAGTCATTTAAGGCGAGCAAATTCAGGAAAGGAGAACCTCTTAGATTACTAGAAAGATCTTTCTCACCAGGCTGCATCTTAAAACGCCCACCAAAATAATTCTCCAGCTCAACTTATATCTAGCATAATTAAGGTGGGGTTAATCTGAGTTTTTCTCTCTGTATTTCCCCTCCCTCCCTCTCTCCTTCCCTTTCCCCCACCCTCCCTCCCTTCTCCTTGGTCCCAGAAAGAAAGATGACTGGTTGGGAAATTTAACAAAAGGAAGGAGGAAGTGAGGAAGGCATAGAAAGAATGGTTAGGAGGAAGGGAGGAGGGAAAGAAACAGGGAAGGAAGAAAAGGAGGGAGAGAGGGAAGGAAAGGGAAGGAAGAAGGGGGAGGGAGGCAAGAAGGAAGGAAGGAAGGAAGGAAGGAAGGAAGGAAGGAAGGAAATATCCTGAAAGTACTTAATTTAATTTCCTCCTTCCCTCATACTCTCTTTCATGTCTTTCTCCTTCCTTCCTTCCTTCCTTCCTTCCTTCCTTCCTTCCTTCCTTCCTTCCCTCCCTCCCTCCCTCCCTCCCTCCCTCCCTCCCTTCCCTTTCCTTCCTTCTTTCCCTCCCTTCCTTCCTTCCTTCCTTCCTTCCTTCCTTTCTTTCCTCCTTAGTATGCAGAAAAGGGGCTAACTCAGTCACTTTTCTTAGCAAAAGGAAACATATTTTCATCCGGATATAAATTGGCATGTTTTACCTACCGAAATTATTTCTCCTACCAGCTTTCACAATATTTTAATACAGCGTGTGGCAGTATGCAAATAGATGGAAGTCTAGCAGTAGAAGCGTTTGGAACTTACTTTTGTCACACAATCTTTTCCGCCCACACAACCCAGCTCCAACGCAGCTGTTGGAAATCAGCTCCCCCCCCTCACCGGAAGATGTATGAAATATCACTGACAGGCCTGTGTGTGTGTGTGTGTGTACATACACACATTTGTGTCTTTGAAAATCAACTTTTATGCCTGTGTCGGTCTATTTTTCAGAGAGGTGTTTTTCGGAGCTGCCAAATTGCAGCGCCTGTGATCTCCAGTTAAATTTTGGGAAAATTGGTACCCTGTCACATCTTTGTTAAGCCAGAGTTTTCCCCTTTATTGTTTGGGCTGATTTTCAAATGATTTAGAGAAGCAGAGAAGACAAAACAGTCCAATTGCTTTCACCTTTGGGCTCGTCCCGATTACAAACTGACTCAGATTAAACCACAAATGTTGAGTGGATAAGACATCAGCAAGCCAGCTTTTTTTGTCTATGGAGATTCTCCTCCACCTAGGTTATAGATGGAGAAGGAAAATGGGGGGGGGAAGAGGAAGAAGAAGAATGAAGGGAGGAGGAGGAGGAGAAGAATGAAGGGAGGAGGGAGAAGGAGGAGAGAAAAGAAGGAGAAGAAGAATGAAGGGAAGAGGAGGTGAAGGGTGAAGGAGGA